CTTGTTCAAGGGCTGCAATGAAAAGCAGTCTGACACATATTAGGTTTCACCCTTATCAAAGATAATAAGAAATTTTAAAAGAAATTAATATCTTGTAGCCCATATTTGCAAGAATTCCTTAAAGAAAAACGGTATATTATCTTACCAAGCCATGGAATATGTCTTTCACTTTGACATTAGCAAAATCAGGAGTTATAATTTCAGGCTGGTAACTTGACTTGCCTATAAACATGAGAAGATTAACTATGTAAATAATTAAAACTAAATACAAATAACATAGTATCAAACATCTTAAATAATGAACAAAAAAGAAACAAATTATAAAATGAAATATAAATAAAGGTTTAAACTAAAAACATATGTTTTATTTTAGAGCTATAAAAAGCTTTTTTTTTCCAATATGCATGAATGATTGTTTATTTTACTTTTTCCAGAAACACTGTTCATGTTTGTTGTGGTTAATTAACTGATTCTGGTGTTATATAGTAAACAAATCTATTAATGTATTCATTCATTAGTAAGGCGAGACTTTTTTAATTCCTTGTTTCGCGTACCACGAAGGAGGGCGGAATAAAAATATGAATAAAATTCTTGTCTTATTTAGCAAATAGTTTTGCCAAAAACATCCAGATAGAGAAAATAAAATAAAATTTTATTGGTGAATGTAAAACAGGATGGTTAAATGCTTCAAATTTATATAATTAGAAAGAAATATACATATCTTGTCTTTGGAGATTTCAAGGCAGTGGAGGGCATAATAAAAATAAAGAAAAAGCTTTATTTTCTTCCGAAATTTCCACTTTTTCTTGGCGGTGGGTGCTCTAATTAGTCAAAATTAAAATTTTATTTTTATTTGAAATCATCAAATATTTGCAGTCATCGGGTTCGCTAAACAAGGTACAAAAGAAAAGTCTTGCCTAAATAATGAATGAATAATTCATTCATTTAATTTTTTTAACTTATTAATTCATTCATAATCAGAAAGATATAAAAACAAACCTCGAATTGCTGGCACTTCAATGATATCAAAGAAGTCGTCCTCTTCATCTAGTTTTGAGTAGCACTCCATGGAACGAGTATGAGCATGTTTCAGTACTTCTTGTAATGTGTCAATCTTGCGTAATGCTTTAGACAGTTTGTGAACACGTAACGATTCTTCATGTAACATCACAGCCTGTTTAACATGAGCCTTGCCT